CTTATTACTTCCACCAAATCCCTTTTTTGTCTGCCTTAGCTCTTCTAACCCCCATTAATGAAGTTTTTTTCAGAAATGTGGTGAAGAAATTGTTTTAAACTGATATGATGCTAAAATTCAGTAGAAAAACTAGGATGGATTAAGAAGATTTTACTTATAACCACTAATAGCAGCATAGTTCTATCATATACTATAAAAAGCAAATCACTGAACCACTCTCTAAGAATTAGCTACTTGAGCAATTTAAATGTGTATTTTTAACTAATGTGTTGTGATGAGTAATTGGCGTATGGGCCTGCTGGAGTCATTAAGTGTGTTTTGTTTTATTATCTTTTTTGTTGCTGTTAGTTATGTTATTGGGCCTTGGTTCTTGGGCTCAATACTCCTTTTAAGTTTTTTTATAAGTAAAAAGAATTTTTTATTAAAAGAAGGAACAGAATACAAACATCACAAGGAGTTAAGGTAACACCCAGATTAACTACAGCAAGGCAAGAAGACCATCAACCACAAACAAGGCAAAAATTGATACAAGCTATCCAGATCAAGATAACCTCAGTCATCTCCTTCGAACACTTCTTGCCCATCGCCTTCCTTGTTCCATGCCTCTCCTCCTTCCCCTGCTATGGAGTTCTTCAATCTCTCTTCCCTTTTGCTCCTTTCAAATACTTCAAAGGGCCTTCTAGCAAACTCCTCTCCACCCCAAAAGAATAGAACTAAGCTTTTGCCAACTCTAACACTCCTGTCCACCAAATTCTCAATCCTCACTTTTCCCCCTTTCACCTCCACACTAACTGACTCAAACTCCCCAGAACTCATTTCTAAGTTTCGACCACCCTCCTCCTTATCCTCTGGCCCAGGCCTCATCTCCATACTATCATCAAGAGATTACATCATCTGCACCTTTTCCCCAGCTGAACCTTGAGGCACTACTCCCCACCCCTCTGACACCTTCTTCTTCAAACCTTTGGTTTTTTATCCTTTTTTTTTTCTCATAGACTCTCATACATTTTACAATTACTAATGTTAGAACACCAGTGGGAGAGACTTCAGATTTTACAGCTACTATGGCTCTTCACCATGATTCAGCACTTAGGCTGCATTTGGCATTCCTTATTTTATGGACTTATCTCCTTTTTGCAGTTAAAAACTTGGTGTTCATAGGGGCATTTTAACAGGAAAAAGGAGATAAGTCCTTAAAATAAGGAATGCCAAATGCAGCCTTACCCCTTATCTATTTGCACCAATCATAGATGATTTTTTTTATCAGACCAATCATAGATGAATTGACTAAACATATTCAGGGGGAAGTTCCATGGTGCATGTTGTTTGCAGATGACATTGTTTTAATTGATGAAACTAATGAAGGATCAAATGCAAAATTAAGCTTATGGACAAATGCCTTAGAAACAAAGAGGTTTTAAAATATGTAGGACTAAAATAGAGCATATGACATGTAAATTTAGTAATAATGGGCATCTAAATCAAGATATGCTTAGGATTGGATAACTCAATGTGACCATTTCCAGTACCTTGGTTCAATAATTCATAACAAGGGAGAGATTTAGGAGGATGCACCCAAAGAATTAGAGCAGGATGGGCAAAATGAGGGGTGCATTTGGACTTTTATGCAATAGGCGAATACTTAGATTAAAAGGAAAATTCTATAAAACAGTTGTATGGCCAGCTGTGTTGTATGGAGCGGAGTGTTGGGTAGTCAACAAACAACATGTCCAGAAAATGAATGTGGTAGAAATGCAAATGCTAAGATGGATGAGTGGAAAAACTAGAGAGGATAGGATTAAGAATGAAGTTATGTAGRAACCTAGGAGTAGCTCCAAAAGGTGATAAAATGAGAGAGAGTAGACTAAGATGGTTTGGAAACGTGCATAGAAAACCACCAATTATGCCAGTTAGAAGAAGTAATTTATTACACATTGGTGGGGCTAGAAGATCTTAGGGTAGACCAAAAGGGGGATGGGTAGAAGTAGTAAGAAACGATTTAAGCACTAATAATTTAACAGTGGATATGGATTTAAATAGAACGGATTGGCAAAACAGGATTCATGCAGCCAACCGCATATACTTGGGATAAGGCATGGATGATGATGATGACGACTCTCTTATATTTATTTGTCAAGCAAGCCCCAATTAAACCATCTTTCAACCATGAAAAAACTTTTGAAACATGAAAAATATTGGATTTACTTAAGTGTCTCGCTTTCTTCAACACCTCCAAAGCAACGGCCTCACCTTCCTTGCAACTTTTCTTCTTAGGCCTAAGTCAACTCCAAGCCTTCCAATTGTGACTTCAATTTTTAAGTATTCATCACCTCCTTCGTTTTTTTTTTTATGAGTACTCACCTCCTTCGTATATTCTATCCTCACCTTTTTTGCCCAATACCTCAACAAGGTAGGCAACCTCCAGATTCTTACCTTTGACCCCTTCAATGGTCTCTCCTACTTGCATCCTTTATTTCCTTTCCCTACTCTCCCTCTATCCTTGTGACATCCTCCTCCAACATAATCACCCTCCCCTCCTGTAATGGTCAGGGTACACCTCTACAGCCAAAGAACCAAAATGAATCACCTTAACCACCTATGGGAACAGCTCCGCCCTCTCCCTCTCTAAGCTCCCGTCGCCCTGTAATCCTAGCTCACCCTTGTCTTTTGCAGCAGTCAAGATAACAGATCCCTTCCCGATCACCTTGGGCAGCCTCACCCTTCAGATCTTCAATCTTTTTTTCAAATACTATTGAATATGGTAACCAACCAAAGCCAATTTTCATCCTTTCCCAAACAAAGTGGTGTAAGTACATGTAGAGCATCATCGCAGAACTTGCGATGAGAATCATAATGACAGAAAAGCAACCACCATAGTACATGCGATGAAATCTGTGTCCATTGCCAAAGGAAGAAAAACCACACTGTCAGTGACCGAATTTGCAGGACCTTGTAATCACCTAGACCACATAAGACCTGCGATGATGCTTCCAATGAGCCTATTGATCTCCTTATCAGTAGGGATATCACCCAAAAGAAATAAATGCAAAGATGTGCACTCCGATTACAGAGTTAAACATCACAGTTTGGACAACGATTTATGTGCCATCACATTCACCAAATCCCTCAACTTAACCTGACATGAAGAACAACCACACTATCAAGAAACAAAATCGCAGGACCTCGTAATCACCCAGACCACATAAGACCTGCAATGACGCTTATGATGAGCATGTTGATCTCCTTATAAGCAGGGATATCACCTAGAAGAAATAACTGCAAAGATGTGCACTGTGATGACAGTGATAAACATCACAGCTTGGCCAACGATTTATGTGTCATCGCATTCACCAAATCCCTTAACTTAACCTGGCATCGCAGGATGCCATTAAAATAGTAGCGAAGCCAGCCCACCTGCGATATTGCATATTGACTCTTAGGCGCTTGTAGCCTTGTACACAAGAGCCTCGTCCCACGTGACTACGAGTAAGCTCTCAAAAGGGTTGTAGCTATAAGCGTGCATACGTGAGAACTCTAGAGACAGGGAATCCTAATCCTCAGAGATTCTCATGGGCATGTGGCGAAACCCTGAAGATGCTTACCCGTTATGAATTTAACAAATCATAACTGCCTTTCTGAGACAGGATTTTTTTTTTTTTTTGATAATTGAAGAGGAATTTTATTAAGAAAATATGAGAACTGTAACAAGCATCCCACTGGGAGGCACAAGGTGCGACCTCCCTTAAAAAGTGAAAAATCACATAGCACTATGGATAAAGATTACAAGGTATCCCAATACAAATGGTTCCTTCAAAACCCCTTGTCTGAGACAGGAAAGTTTCCCCCTATCATTTTCATGTCTCCCTTTATAGCCACATCCATTACTCTATAAATAAGAGAGGCCCAAAGCCCTCCACATGAGATCATCTTGAGAGTACAGAGAGAGCCCTAGCTTCCTAGCCTTCTACTTCCCACTACTCTACTACACCTCAGCCATCCTTTGTCTTTCAGGGAGACCCCCTTTGTAGCCTTACCACCCAACTTACACGTGGAATTTACTTTCTCGTCTCCTTCGCTTAAAGAACTTGAGTTTAGAGCACCTTCCCTTGAAAACCTTCAACCTATTAGGTCGGTAACTCCTCTTATCAAACCTAGACTTTAAGTTTAAAATGTGGGCCACATTCCCACACCCATTAACATCATTAACTGACTGCATCCCTTCAGGAGCCACAAATAACCACCCCTTCTCGCTTTCTTGAGCTTCCAAACCTACCACACAATCAGCTCCCATATGGCTCTTCATTAAAACCTATTCGCAACCAAAATTACCTCTTTGTCCCTTAAGCTCTCACCCCCATCAGCCAGATAGGGTTGCCAATAGAGGGCATAATTGTACTTTTATGTACTTTCAATCTTAAACTTTTAAAATCAGTTAGGGTCGGCCAGAGAGAATAATTCTGCCACCTCATTCATTCCATTCTTCTTCTAACGCTTGCAGGTTGGCAAACATGATAGGTATGTGATTTTACATCTTTATAGTCAGAAATCTAGAATACATGCATTAGCCAAATTGTTGTGCATCAGTCTCATCAAAATTATCCCTTTTATGTTTATAAATATAAATATATCATGTTATATTATACAGTATAATGTTCTTATCCACTTTCTAGGCCTAAAAGAAGATAATTGTACAATAATCCAAAAGTCTATAATCTAGGATCCAATATGCAAGTTCAAGCAATAAAAAAACAAAAGCTCACAGTTTGGGCATACTCTGTTTTTGATGAAAAAGGCATATCTAGTAAAAAAATAAAAGATTGCCTATAATAATTCTTTACATGAGGATACCCTTGTCTTTTCACAAGAGTATTCTTCAATATTACACAAGGATGTGCCTCATGTGCTCAAATCACCACCAAATAACAGAAGTTGGAAAATCTTATTATACAATTCTTGCAGTAAGGGAGATACATAAAAAATAAAAGGAAGAGGATGTTAACCTGGCGTAAAAATCGTAAGCTCCGACTATCAGGTGAAAGGCCACCAATCTGAGACGTGGAAACCAAAGCATATCCCTGAGTTGGCCTCAAAGGCGAGTCTCTCCTATCAAGTTTAAATGTGTACTTTAGAGATGAGATCAAACTATGTCCAAGCAGCTTCCTTATTGATTTAGAGGACATTTGCGATGGATCTGTTAAAGTACGCCATGTAAGATTGTAAGCCAGATCATGATGCCTGGTAGAAAGCAAGCCAACAGATAGGCCCAATAAGCGTTCTTTGTAGGAAGAGACCTTCAACCAATCCTGGGAGAGTAGTGAAATGCGAGCTACTACAGGAGTTATTAATCCTTTGAATCTGGGCAAGGACAAACCAGCACTTACTTCTGATGTTTGGTCCCAGCCATATGCCCAGGAACCATCCCAAATATCACCATACCCAAACAAGTTTTTCAATTTGAGTGATCCTTCAAGTGACCAAGACCTAGCCTACAAAAGCATGTTTGCAACTTCAAAAACCATTTGAGGATAACCTGATAACTCAAAAACAAGTACACAATAAAGAGTATCACAAGACAAAGTTCAATGAACTTTCTTGATCAGAATCAGATGTCTCAAATCCCTAATTCTACTCATACAAAATAAATGCATGTTTACATTAATGTGGCTCATGTTTACATCTTAGATGGGTTTATATCCATTCCACAAATTGCACAAATTCAGAAGGAACCAGCACAACACATGTGATCTGCTTTTGCTTTCCTTAACAAGGAAAAAAAATACATATTATCTAAAAGAAAAAGATTTGCAAAAAAAAATGGATCCAACAAGGTCAATGCTCCACTGATTTGGAGATCAAGGGTACAATGCAACCAAAAGGTACAGTTCATTCAGAATTTTGCAAGATTGTTCTCCAGTAATGTCAATTCATATTTATTTATTTTTTATAACAAAAGAAAAGATATTTCAATAAAATGAAAAAATAATCTGATTACATCCCAATAAGGTGTTAAGGCAACACCTTCAAGAAATAGCAATGACTACTCATAGATACAATGAGAAATACAAGTTTGCAACTCAAGTACTTCTAAAATCTCACCCCTAATTCTGTCGTAGCAACTTGTGTGAAGTCCGGAAGGACCAGCACCCAATCAACAATTAAGCTCAATTTATATTTACACAAAGCAAACAATTTCAGCAGGATGTGAAAACCATCCAAAGTCTTGCACTTGATGAATTTCGTGTAGGTTCTGAACCTATGTTACATGGATTTGGAGGTAATGGAATATCAAATTTACAGTAAAAATTCAAGTATCCGACAATCCAAGTGCCATAGTTCTGAACACCTCTCACTATTACGCTAGTTGCAAGCGGATATTTTACCCAATTTTGATTGGACAGCCTTTCACCTTTCTCCTTGGATTCGTTTTATATAGCCACCACCTCTTCTTTCTACAAGATCTTATCCTTAACATGACATAGTTGCCCAATGTCATATTGAATCCCGTGGTAGTTTCCCAGAGTTAATCTGGCGTTTTTTAATTTTCTTAATGGTCTACATAGAGGAATTTGTGTGGCAGCAAGATGAGCTTTTCTTCCTTGTGTTAGATGTAAACTAACTTAAAGAGAAAATAGCATTCCCATCATTCAAGATAAAATTCGTGGGATAAACGACAATTACAACGCCCCAATCAACTTACCAAACACCCAGTAATCTAGTTCGGATTGCTCACTCAACGACTACCACCCATATTTATCGAAAATCAGAAGAATCCCACAATTTAGCCCAAATAAAAATAGAACCCTGAAAACAATGTGGGGGAAGAATACAAGAAGAAATAGCGGTACCTCTGGCTTGGAGAACATTCCGATGCTTCCAGTGAGGGGATTCTCGGCCTCCACGACCTCGACGATGATATTGGCAGTTCCGGGTAGCTCAGGTGGCCCGGAGTCAAGCGTAATGTTAACGGAATCGAATATTTCGAGCCTCTGAAGGCGTGCATTGGCGATGGTAGCGGCTTGCAGGAGCTCTTGCATAGAGGTTGCGTTCTTGAGGACTTCAACTTCAGCTTCGATAAGAGAGTCCTTGGTCTTGGCGTTGCCCTTGATCAAGACGTCATGAACTCGAAGGGTTACTCGTTCCCTTGATAAGCGATGGAGCAGATTGTTCAATTTGTTTCTCTCCGAAAGTAACCTTGATTCATCGCTTACTCGATCTTCCACCACCTCCTCTTCCGCTTCTTCTTCTTCTTCTTCAAACTCTTCATCTTCGTCGTCTTCGCTATTTGGGGCTTCTTCGTCGTCTTCGTTGATTGGGTTGTCTGCGATTGGTTTCGGTTGCTCTTCTACTGCGGTCGCCATGTGCAAGTGAGTGAAGAAACGCGAGGTCGGAACTCGGAAGGTAACCAGGTGAAAGGGCGTCTATGCAAATATTGAATGACGAGTGCGTGTAACCTCTTAGCTCAATTAGAGATTGGCACGTAGGGGATGCAAGTGGCCGGGTTAGGTCGGGTTCCTAACCCAAACCGAGTCGTTGAACCCAGGTTGGGCTTGAATTGGTTTCGATATAAGGGCAACTTTTGGAGTTTAATATCAATGAAATTAATATATTTAAAAAAAATCAAAAATAGGTTAACTTTTTAAAAATAATATCAATAAAGGGCAAAAACACTCTTCATCTTCTTTTTCTTGCCATTTGTTCACCAGAACCGTCGCTGCCTCCACCCACCTTCGCCTCCGGCAACGTTGTCGAAGGTGGCTGGAGGCAAAGGTGGCGGCGGCGGAGCTGGTGGTCATTCCTCTACCCGCCGCTGCCGCTACCTCTGTCTCCACCCATCTTCGGCAACATTGCTAGAGGCGGCATTGGATAGAGGAATGACCACCAACACTATCGCCACCACCTCTGCCTCCGGCTACCTCCAACAATGTTGTCGAAGGCGAAGGTGGGCAGAGGCAGCGGCGGACAACGGTGGCGGGTATTAGCGAGCGGCAGAGGACGACGGCTCTGGTGAACAAATGGCAAGAATAAGAAGATGAACAATGTTTTTGCCCTTTATTGATACTGTTTTTAAAAGGTTAACCTATTTTTTAAATATATTACTTTTATTGATATTAAACCCCAAAAGTTGCCCTTTTATGCTATTACCCCTTTTTTTCTTTGATCCATTTGTGCAGCGTTTTGATCCTCGTAATGAAGTTTCCTATAAATTCACTTGCCTCTTAAGCTTCTTTTTTCTACTAAAATCGGTGTGTACCAGGAATTATTGTTGTGTTGAATCCTCGTTTGCTTGTGAATTAAGGGTGTCAATTGGATTGGATTTGGTCCAAACCGATCCAATACAATGTGAGCCCAATACAAATGGGTTAGGTCCAATCCAATCCAATAAATATTTTGGACCGGTCTAATTTGGTTGAATTCGTTTTAATTTAGATTGATTCAAATCCAAACCTGGTCCATTAACACCTATATTCTTATCTTGTATCAATGGACTATGAATTGGTTCAATCCAACCCAATCCAAAATAAATTCATTACGGATGGACCATTACTGGTCCAATTCAATATGTCTTGTTGGTCCATCCAATCTGTCCAAAATGATTTTGGTTTGGATGGGGTCCAACACAAAACCCGTTCATTGACACTCCTACTTGTAATCATTAGATCCTATATAAAAGCTATTGGGAAACACTAGTAAGTGTGTAATTGTTTTGTATGTGGCAATTTTTGCTATGGTTGTGATGATGTTAAATAATATATTTCTAAAAATTTATATAATTTTTTGTATTCCTATGTCTATAAAAATTAGTCTTGTTCATCACGCTTATTTTTGTTTAACATGATAAATATATCATATTAGGGATGTGTCAAAATGTTTTATACAATTTTTTGTATTTTTTATATTTTTGTGTGTTTTCATCTTTTTAAAATTTTATTATTATTTAATTATGGCATTAAGTGTTGACACATTTTGATCCAAAATGTTGAATTGATGATCCAACACCATATAGGTAAATAATTCCATTTTTTGGATGATTTCAAATTTTATTTTTATCATCAATGAAAAACAAAAAGTATTATTTGTCACATTTATTTATTGTTGGGTTCGTTTTAAATTTGTATTTTATTTTTATTATCAATAAAACACTATTATTCTTTGTCATGTTTGTTTTTTGAATACGGTTAATTAATATAAGATTCAATGAAAAAATGGGAGTGATATAAATACCCTAATTCCCTAAATATTAGACTTGAGGAGAACAAATTGAATGAGGAGTAACATAATAGTTCAGATTACATTTTGTACCCTTGGAATTAGAGAGGGACTAAATCAAAAAAGGGTATTATAGCCTAGTAAAAAAAATGAGTGAATGTTAAAGGGAGTTAATACCTTAAATATAAGACTTACGTATCGTTTGATAACACTTTTCAAACCTCTGAAGTCTAAAAATTGTTGCTTTTCAAAAATTAGTGATGTTTGAATGTGTATATGAATTTGGGTTAGAAATTTGTTTTCAGATATGAAATAATAAGACATGGGCCAAGTGCTGAATGCCTTCAAATGCATTTCAGATATGGACAAAAGTCCATAATACCCTTGAAAATGTTGTTTGTGTTTCTCCTCCTCATCGTTCATCTTCTCCACTTGATGCAGCGGCGAACTAGTGATGACAAGTGACTCCTTTGACAAACTTGCGGCGATGAGTTCTAGCCTTCTCTCTCTCTCTCTCACTCCTTTCTTCTTCTTCTTATTTTCTCGCCACTACAACTCCTCTGGCAAACTAGTGGCGGCTATATATACCTATCTATTTATCTATCTCCCTCCTTCCCTCCTTTCTTCTTCTTCTTCTTCTTCTTCTCTCGTTGTTGCAACTCCTTTGACGAACTAGCAGTGGCGAGTTCTGGCCTTCTCTATATCTCTCTCACTCCTTTATTCTTCTCCTTCCTATTCTCTCACCACTACAACCGAATAATCTAATTTAGGGGTAAAATAGTAAAATTAGTAAATTTCATATGCTGAAGGTTTGATCCAAGACAAACAACCTTTTTTATTCAGAGCCACTAAAAAGTTAAAAAACAACTGTCTCTTTTCAGATTTCAAACACTTTTAATATTTTAAGTTTTTTAAATTTCAAATTTCAGATTTATCAAACGCCACCTTAATGATAGAGATTTAAATGAGAAGAAAAGTTGTTGTTCAAATTGCATTCATGTGATTACAATTAAAGATAGACCAAATTAAAGAAAAAGGATATTTTATTCAACCAAAAGATTCATACTCTCATTCACACTTTTAATAATAGTATAGATAAGTCATAATATGCTCCCACCTCAAATTGTGATGTTTCTAGAGATGTATATGCGTATCTGGTGCAATTCTAATTAAAGCAGTGTTAGCTAAATTTTATGCTTTATCAAGACAATATTTGTGTTATTATGTAATTTAGAGGTTGAATCATTGGAACGCTTCTTTATTAGTTGTGGCTTCACCAATAGGCAAAGGGGTATGGTTTGGTTCTCTTCTCTACATTAGGCGCAATGGTGAATTGGTTTTTGGGTAAAATACAAAAACCTCCCCTGAAATTTCTGACAATAATAAAAATCTCCCCTATAGTTTTATTTTAACAAATACCTCCCCTGAACTTTAGAGAAACTCAACAAAACCTCCCTTCTATCATTGGTCCAGACAGAAAACGTTAGATTGATGCACCAGTTTTTTTCCAAATACCCATTTTACCCTTTTATAAATTATTTTACATACAAAATTACTGAAATAACCCCATTTTAATGCAACAAAATATATTTTAATGATTATTTCAGTAATTTTACATATAAAATTACTGAAATATGTTTTTTTGTTGAGTTAAAATGGGATTATTTCAGTAATTTTGTATGTAAAATAATTTATAAAAGGGTAGAATGGGTATTTAGAAAAAACTGATGCATCAATCTAACGTTTTCCGTCTGGAACTGTGACAGAAGGGAGGTTTTTGTTGAATTTATCAAAAAATCAGGGTTAATATTTGTTAAAATAAAACTATAGAGGAATTTTTTATAATTGTCATAAATTTCATGGGAGATTTTTGTATTTTACCATGGTTCTTTTAATAACAGATGGCTTAGTGAGTATTACCAGCAGGTGCCGAATGTGGTGGCTCTCTTTTGGGAAAGTTAAAAGGAGATTATGTCTGATCACATTATCCCATATCCTATCAATACTATTGCAGGAATATCATGATCCTATCAATACTTGTGAGAGATTGAGACCCAACTTTCTTTATCTTCAATAATTCATAGTATACCCCGCTGTTACATGGTTGTCTTCGCCCTGATTGTATTGCATCTATCATTTTCAAGGAGGATATTGTATCTCACACTCACATCCTTGTTTTGATGATTAATGGAAAGTGAAAGTATGAACATATTACATGTCCGAGTTGGATCATTGGGCAAAAGTTATACTGGTTAGTATTTTTTCAGCATGAGCATGAACTTCAACCTAATTTTTTTTTTTTTTTAATTTTTTCAGATTGGGTTCACGCTAACCTGGCCAAGTTGCACCCCTTTTGGCCCATAATCCAAATTTWTTTTGCGAAAAGTGGTTAAGTGATTTATGAAGGGATATTTGGTGTTTGATTTTCCAAGCTAACAATTTTGATCTGGTACATATTTGCTGGCCACATTGGACAATAGGTGATGCACCCACAAGATACTCTTGTTGTCCTCTGACTTGAGAAAAAGCAAATTTCTTGCTGGAATTTTAGTCCATTTGATTTGAAGTCAAGTCGAATATAGGGCTGTTAATGGGCTTGAAAGTCCAAAAAATTTAGGATCCATTTAGTTTACAGTCAGAATTGGAATCCTTTGAAATTGGAATCAAAATGGTCTATTCTCGTAATCTGTTTGGTTCAGACAGGAATGGAGATAAAAATTAGAATCAGCAGTAATGAGATTTCATTCCCAAGAAAGGTCAAAGTAATGGGGAAATGCCATTTCACCAAAAATAGGAATGAGATTCCGATTCAGCTCGACCATACAGTTGGAATTGGAATAGTGAACTGTTTACATAATCAGATGGGGATTAAGTTTTACAACCTGCATCTGACTGAAGTCAATCGGTCATATATAAAGAGTAACTAATTTTTAGCTATTTATTTATTTTAAATAAATACAAAGCAGAGTAAGATCAAATCCAAGTCCAATGGGATCCAATCATGCATGACCCCAAATCATCCATAGGTCCTCCAATCAGACTTCGGATCAGAGAACAGATTTCAGTGTTCAGTAATGAGGTTGAGGTCCAGGTGTGGAGTAACCAATCCAAGTCCAACCTTCCTGTTTATGACATTGACATGTTATCCTTATTTGTCCTTTTTCAATTAAAAAAATATTGATAGTATTTATTCTTTTACCCTACGTCCATATTCATGTTAACTCTTCATGC